ATAATACAATGTAGACTGCTAAATGCCATAAGAAATATAAATGAAGGCCTCTGGGGTCTGGTCAAGCATGAAATTACTTCCAGCCCTGGAGCTAGAGATTTCACAGGGAAGGATTGTCTGTAAAGGAGCCAGGCTTTGAGAGACTGATAGGTGGTGAATGGGCAAAGATACTGTCAAAGGAAGTTCCCAGTGGAATTTACTGCATGGGCCAAGTATGGAATGGGAGAAATAAAGACCATATCTAGGAGGCATGTTCAGGCTTAAAGGAGTATTTGGTTCGTGGTGATAGTAGTAGCTAGAGCTGTAAAGAGAGATTGAGTCCAGATCTTTGAGGGATTTGCATACCAGACTGAAGATTAGTCTTACAGGTGGGTCAGCAGATAGCTTGGTGGTTAAAGAACTGGACTCCAATATGGCCAACTATAGTTTGAATCCTAGACCTGGTGACTTTCTCTCTCTCTCTCTCACATGTATGTGCTCTGTAGCAGATTTAAAAATAATGATAATAATGATAGTTAAAATTAAATAAATAATTCTTTTTAAAAAATAAAGCCTCATAGGAGTTGGGAAACTGTTGATGTTTCAGCAGTAGTTAGCCACAAATAGAGTTGCTACTTAATATTAATATGGGGTCAGCAAGTGTGTAGTGGTTACATTGCTGGACTCCCACATGGTCAACTATTGTTTGAGTCCTGAACCCAGTGGCTTGAAAATGACGCTGGCCATGTGGGTGTCTGTGCCCAAGATCCTGGGAGGAGAATGGAGGAGAAGGGACTGCAGCATGGCCATCCCCTGAGTGATTTTTCACTTTAACTGTCTCTGTCTCTTTCTTCAGTGAGTGCACTGCACAATCCCTATGGCAAAAAGGTCTTTTGAAAAAGAATATAAATATGTAAGGCCTGGATAGAATGAATTAGCAGCAGGAAGAGATTATCTTGGCAGGTGGACGGGTAGACTGTTTGACTAGGTGGAACGCAACAAGGTCATCATCCAGGATGGTGACAGTGACAATGAAGAGCTGGTGAAATGTAGATCCCATGAAAGTCATAGGAGAGTGGTCTTTGACTCCTAAGGTTCAGAACTTCTCCAAGACCCTAGACATAGGAAGACAAGCATAATCGAGTGAGGCAGAGGGTGGAGCAGGGGGAGAGCCCTCGGCAGCTGTGCCCTACATCTGCTCGTTGGCCTGTAAACATTCTTCTTGGCAAAGCCTTTCCATGCCTGAGATAGTTTGCCAGTGTGCCCAGCATTTGGCCTTATGAGTCTGTGTTAGGAATCTCTGTAAACTACCTCCCAAGGCTCGAAGCCAGGACATGAGCTAGAGGATTTCTGAGTACATAGACTCAGTTACTGTCTGCACCTGGTAGTCTTCATACGACCAAGACTGTGTCACAGTTTCCATTATGCACACGGTTTCTCCTTCCAACCCCCAAAGGTTTATAACTCAGCAAAGAAAATTTGCTCCCACTGGGAACTTGGCAGGAAGATTATGTTCTTAGCCCAGCAGCAATTCTAGTTAAGAGAAAAAAAAAATTCAACAAAATTGGTTTAGTACATTTCATAAAGTGCAACTATTAATCTAATTCACTTCAAGTTTTTCAAGAACTATTTTTGTTCTGTGTCACCTTTAAGGCAGCTTGCAGAGAACAAATAGGGGACACTCCTCATGAAACATCTATTCTGAGTATGTTTTCAGTCAGTTGTACACTTTTTCTTAGAATTGCAAATTTCTGCTTCAATTTTAACCTACCCCGATGGCAACTCTATCATCGCTTTTTACACAGACTTTCGGTGTGTTGACATTGGACTTTAAGAAAGCTTGTTGTCTAGTTCCTTCCTTCAGATTAGTCTATGATGAAATTATTTGTCTTGCTTTTAAAGATGTCAGTTGGAGAAGGAATTCCAAAGCACTACCTGTGTCATTCTAAAGTTCGTTCTTGTTATTAGTAAATTATTTAGATTGTGGCCTGAGTTTTTCCTGAGTCTAGGTAGCCAAACACTGACTGGCCCATCCTTCACCTTTTGAAGTATCAGACCTCTGCCTGCTCTTCCCCAAACCATAATAGGAGCAAACACTTTGGGATTGAACTGTGTGTCAGACACCATACTGAGACTGTAATACTTAAAATTTTACTTGACAACATGTTAATTACTTATTTAACTCATTACAGTCCTAGTCTACGAATGAGGAAACCAGAGACCAAGAGAGCTAAGATAGGGGCCAGATGGTGGCACAGCAGTAAAATGTGACACTCTGCAAGGTAGTCCATATGGGAAGGTGCCTCGTTCAAGTCTGGAGACCTCCCTGAGTACATATCAGGCACATGTATGCCTGTGATCTGGGGCTAGCTAAAGGCTAGGGGTGGATCACGGAATCAAGACCTTGTTGGGGATGCTGTCTTTCTTCCTCTCTCACGAAAGAAAGTAATAAACAAACCTTTTTTTTTTTTTTTCTTTTTTTGGGAGAGGTTTTTGCTATAGAGTGCGTGCACTCGCCAGAAAGACAGAGAGAGACAGAGACAGAAAGCAAGAAATCACCCCCCAGGGGTGATGGCTACGCCATGATCCCTTCTCTTCCATTCTCTCGGGATCTTGGATATGCACGCACACACACCCGGCATGAGTTTAAGCCGCTGGGTCTGGGATGCAAACCACGGTCGACTACATGGGAGTCCAGTGACATAGCCATTACGCTAACTGCTGGTTCCACAAACCTTATTTTTAAAAAAAGAAAAAACAAAACAAAAACAGGAGGGGGGCCGGCAGTTGGTGTGGCGTTTAAGGCTCTGGACTCACACATGGTCGAACATAACTAGTGGCTTACTTTCCCACTTTCCCTCCCTCTCTCTCTCTCTCTCTCTGGTCAAATTAAATAATAATAACAACAACAACAACAAATAAATAAATAATTCTTTAAAGAAAAGAAAGAGGTAACTGGCCCAAAGAAGCTGCTCTACAGACTGTATCAACCCCCAGGCTGGGGTTTCTCCTATGCCATGCCTCCTTCCTCATTCCGTGCTTGATTAAACCCCGAGCCTTGTGGTCTATAAATATTCATGTTTGAATTAGCTGAACATTTCTTGGAAATAATCCAACCTCTGTGGTGTGCTTTGCTTCAGGTCTTGAAGGATAATTTGGTCCTTGTGCCCAAAGGAGCTTGGAAATTGGGTAGCTACTTAGCCTCTGCAGAGATACATTTTTTGTAATCACCTGAGACTCATACTCTGATCTTTCTTAATTTGAATGTTCTCTGGTTTTTGTGGAACAGGACTGGTAAAAAAGACCAGGCTGTAATAGGTTTCAGAAGTTCAGGGGGCAGTTCTATAGAATTGGTTCCGCTATCATTTTTAGACCATAACATTCTTTATTTGCCGTAAAGTGCGGGTCCTATTAGACTATAAACTCACATTCTGACTTTGAGAACCAAACGAAAGTAAACACTCAAAACACCTCTCTGACTGAATACTCAGAGAATACACACACACATACACACACACACATACAGTTATTAGTTATCAATGGTTGTGTAACAAATTACTCCCAAAATTTAATAACTTAAAACAGTAATAGAGACCTATTATTTTAGTTTCTATGGGATGAGTAATTTGGGAGTAGCTTGCTAGGTAGTTCCAACCTAGAATATTTCTTGAAATTGCAGTCAAGTTGTCAACCTGAGTGGAAGGCTTGACTCGGGCTGGAGAATCCACTTCCAAGGGACTCACTCACATCACTGTTGCCTGATTGGTTTTGGCTTTCCGGAAAGGCTTCAGTTCCTTTCCGTTGTGATCTTTCCAAAGGGCTGATGGGTGTCATCACTACATGGTTACTGATTTTCCCCAGAGTGAATGATCTAAGAGAAAGAAAAGTGGAAGCCACAATGCCTTTATGACCTAGCCTCAGAAGTTACACACGGTCTCTTTTTGGTAATATTTTATGGATCACATAGGTCATCCCTGTGCATTGTGGGATGAGATCATACAAGAGTGTGTGAATCTTGTGTGAGGCACGGATCACTGGGGCTCTCTTGGAGATTGGCTACTGTACCCCACTATTTTTCCTTTGGTTATGAAAAGCAAAAGAAAAGTAAAGGGGAGAAATAATCCTGGAGAAATAGAAAAGGATAAAAAGATATAGACAGAGAGCAAGTCACCTCCCTCTGGCTTCCCTGGCTGCTAACTGTAATTCCACACAGGGAGCATGGAGGCAAGGACATAGATGATAGGAAATCATCCAGATTTTCAGAGTTTGTAGATGATTATTACACCTTTTCCCACTGATATCTGAGTTGAGAACCAAGGAGAAACAGACGCAGATGTCAGACTAGTGGAGGTCAGAATGTCAACCTTGTTACTGGAGATGCTGGATTGAATTTGAGGCCACAGTTCTTCCTTCTGTTTTGGACTTGGGACAAACTTCCTGAGGGAGAATTTGGGTATGTATTGCCGATGCACTTCCTCAGAATTGCTGCCTCACACATGCCAAACTCCAATGTAAGGGATACAGAGAGACAGATCTCTAGACCCACTCCCGAAGTCAGGCCTGACCACTGGCCCCTTCAGGTGTACAATCTAGAGGCAAAGCAGAGTCCATTCAGCCTCAGCAGCTTCTCCCAATCTCACCCATCAAATAAATTCATGCCTTTCTTCTTGGAAAAATGGGAGGGACAGAAATGGTACCAGTCTTGGCAAATGGAACAGATTCTTTATAGAGTCAAGATACAAACACTGGGAGAAGATGAGAATGGCTCTCCTTGTAGAGGTCATCCAAACATAAAGTCAAGGCCACCACGAGGGCTAGTAGACACACCCAAACTCTGCCTTCGTTAATACCAAGTCTCTACTAACAGAGAATAGTTGTATTTGGAGTTATTTTACAAACAATTGTAAACAAATTCATGCCATTTCCTCTTCTGTTTATGTTGGAGTCTCATGTAGTCTAATCGTACGCCGTTTTTATCATTGCTTTGAGATCTTTAACTCGAATCTCCCTTTCCTTTTTAGACACCGAGTGGTGGTTTCTTATCCTCCTCAGAGTGAGGCAGAACTTGAACTTAAAGAAGGAGATATCGTGTTTGTTCATAAAAAACGAGAGGATGGCTGGTTTAAAGGCACATTACAGCGTAATGGGAAAACTGGCCTTTTCCCAGGAAGCTTTGTGGAAAACATCTGAGAAGACTAACACTGAGAAGGCTTAAAAATCACATCACACGACAAAATAGCACAAAGCAATTTAATGGAAAGAGCACATTTGTGGACTTCCAGATGGTCAGGAGCAAAGCCTTGGCGTGCAGCTCAGTGTCCCAGCACAGTTACAGCGAACAGAGTGAAGATGGTGTTTGTGTGAATCTAACCACTCTGGATTCCAATGTGTAAGGTGTGCCTTGTACTGTCTAATTTACTATACAGAGAAACCCTTTTTTTTTTTTTTTTTTTAAAGATATATAACTAAAATATATAACAATTGTTTACAAGGCTTAACTAATTTATTTGCTTTTTTAAACTTGAACTTTTCTTGTGATAGATGAATTCTTTTGGAGTATGATTTTAAGAAATAATTAATTTATGAAATGATAGCTAAGGAGAAGCTGGATTATCTCCTGTTGAGAGCAAGATTCTTTTCAACATAGAATGCACCTGCCCTCCCCCCCACATGCTATAATTTGTTTCCTTGAAACAGAAATTCCAACTCTTTCATTTGGTTTTCTTCTTTGGGAAACCAAATATGCAACTGAATCTGTGTCAATAAAGGGCCCTGGGGTAGGGAGACAAACTGAGAACAGAACAGTTAGTAATTCTCTTTCTAGTTTGGCCAGGAATCACCCTTAAGACCTAGTCCTCAATTTAATTTTGTGGGTTCTTAATTTTTCTAGAATGAAATAAATGAAGGGATAAGGAAGAATAAAGCACAACCCTTACATAAAAATGATTTCAGAAATATAGTTCACTTTATAATCGAAGCAGCTCAATTCATTGGTTGGATAGTAGGGAAAATCAAAGTTGTACTCACCGTCTGAGAATGGTTCTGAAACATAATTTCCCATTTTAAAACTCCATGTGATCTGCATGCCCAAGACACGATAAAGCATTTGTGAGATAGTGGTGGTAAGTGATACACTCGTATTAAAGTCAAAGGCTGTAAGAAACACTGTGAAAAGTTTACATTCATCCATTGTGATTCATTGCCCACTGTCTTGCATGTGTTACTGGATTCCCACAGTAATATAGACCGTGCATGGTGTGTATATTTCATTGCAATTTCCTGTCGAGAGTTTGACTGTGCTCAGAATTGGCCAATACAGGAGATGTAAAATAAGTAGTATTTTCCTCTCTAACCCAAAGCCACTAGTGACCAAGGTCTCTTCAGTGCACTCCCTGCCACTCTGGCTAAGGCATCCGTTAGCCATTACACTAGTCATTAGTGAAAATGCTCTTTTATGTCCTCCCAGCAGACAGATGTAAAGGATGAGTTTATCCAGGAGGCTGCTCTTGTGACGGCTCTGTTGAAGCTCTGGAAGGCTGGGCAGGAGGGCATGTGCCCACACCTTACAATTGTGGCAGGACCCAGCTGAGCCATCTTTTTATATCCATGCTTTGATGTCATTGGCCTCTTTCACCGATTTCATTTTAGTGCCACGCAGTTGTGGGGCTGGGTAGTACTGGAAACAAAGAAGGAAGACAGTTTGGTAGTGAATAAAGCCGTTACCACAGTTTTCTCTTGGGAAATAAATAAGTAAATAAACCTTTTCCTTTTTTCACTTTTAAGACTTAAAACTGGGAAATAGAAACATGAACTGAAAAGTCTTCTTGCAGTGGCAAGACGTTTCATGGTCTTAAGATAATGTTATGTGGTTGAAAATGAAATCATTCCTAAATTAACCAATTTTTTATATGTAAAACACTGTACATTATGTTCCTGTGTGTTGAATTTTTTAAAAAAATACTTTACTTGGATATTCATGTAATATATAAATGTTGGGTGAAATGAACTTTAGTTAGAAAAAAAGCTGGCACCAGCTTTCATCTGTGTAAGTTGACACCAATGTGTCATAATATTCTTTATTTTGGGAAATTAGTGTATTTTATAAAAATTTTAAAAAGTAAAAAGACTACTACAGGTTAAGATAATTTTTTTACCTGTCTTTCCTCCATATTTTAAGCTATGTGATTGAAGTACCTCTGTTAATAGCTCCCTGGTATAAAGTTGGTTAAAATTTCATCTGTTAAATAGATCATTAGGTAATATAATGTATGGGTTTTTCTATTGGTTTTTTGGAGACAGTAGATGGAGATTTTGTAACAGAGCTTGTTACACAGTGATATGGTAATGATAAAATTAAAATTTATCATTCCTTTTCATGTTAATAATTTGAGGACTGGATAAAAGGTTTTGAGATTAAAATTTGATGTTCAACCTTCATGAACCCTTGTGTCAATCCTGTTTTTTTTTTAAGTGTTTATTGATGTATTCTACTTGTACAAATTTGTCTTCCAGATATACTTACTCAAGTGTAAAATGACCGTACCATGTTCATTGCCTTATTGTTTATACTAGTGAGATATTGAAAACAGCCTGTCCACCAATAAAGAACTGGTTAATTGAATTATATTGAATCTATGCAGAAGAATGAGGAGCCCAGCTATGGTGGCATGGGTGGTAGCGTACTGATCTGCAGTGCTGGAAGCCATATGACTGACTGATTTGGATTCCAACTTGTCCAGAAACATGCTGGTCCCGTGTGAGCGCAAGATCCTGACTAGCTGGAGAAGTAGGGGAGGGAGATCGCAGTGCTAGAAGAACCTATGGAGGTCAGAGATACCCCTCTCTGTCTCTCTCCTTACTCCTGTCTTTCTTACCCCTCTCACTCTATCTCATAAATGAAAGAAGAGAGACATCAAAGTAAAGCCCCTGACCTTCTATGGAAGCCAAATACTCAGAAGG